ATTCATCTTTAAAGCAGTCCAGTAACTTCCTCTCATCTTCTTCTCAAAGTCTCTTGTAATGGCAAAATATATTTGAACTCTGTGTGTCCGTGTTGTGAACCCAAAACTTACGTGTGGTTAAAACTATGCAGTAATGAACATGTAGTTGAAAGTCTCATCTTACCTTGAAACCGTAACTGGTTCCCAGTTGAACGCATCTGGCAGAAACTAGATAATGAGCAGCTCAAGACAGCCTGTGTCAAAAGACCTCTACTCCCCTATGCATGATTTGTCTAGAGGAGGGGGCCTCTCTATGTATAAAATGATGTTGAATCTTGTACTTAGTCGAAGCTTATACAACATGCTGCTGAATACGTATTGTGTTGTGCACTCTTCCCTTGCCAGCAAATAAACGGAGAAAGACAACTTTGAATCTTTTGAAGACTTTTTTATTGATTTGTGAACAACTCTCTTCTCCAGATTAACATAGAAATCTTCCATCACACTCTCCACCCTTTAGCCTGAATATAGATTGGAATGATTATATATGTACTTTCATTCATCCTTTGCTGCACAATTTGACAAAGCTTTATTTATATATATGTATCTTGCAATCATACCAACTTTCTGCCAGTGCATTATCAAATTGCTGGAGTGCCCCTTCAATGAGATGAGGAGGGAGAGTTTCTAAGATGACCTACCTCCAGCATGTTCATAACAAAGTAGAAAATGAGCAGAAAGCCGGGGGCAAAAACAAGTCGATCCAGCAGCAGACGTTTTACAATGCAGAGCGGGTCTGTGCTGGGCATCCACACTTCCATCAGCTGGTAAACGTAATGGCTCACCGGTCCTGTAATAACCAACCTGAAACAGACAACCAGGGAATAATATTACTACAAAAATGTATGTATTTTATGTATATTATAATGTCTGGCACTCTAGTCTAACAGGAACATGCCATTACATTCACTTTCTTGCTGTACATGAACCATGACTAGCAAGTCAACCCTCAATTATGTTTCTGTATTTAGTCTCACCCATTAATGGCATAGCGTGCAGCTCCAGCTGGGTCAATCTGATGGACCAGGGCTCCATTGTTGGCCTTTTTTTTGGCCTCCAAAATCTGAGACAGAAGATTTGCTAAAGCTGTGAGGATGCCACTGAAAATATCAAGGACACACAACGAACACAACTATTAATATGCAACAGGTACATTCATGATAAGGTAGTCTAATCAAATTAAACATGTGTCATTAAGTTGTTAGGGGAGGTTTTATGTGCATGATGCTGATTGGCTAAAGTCCACAGAAGGGCAGCCAGTGGTCAGTGCAAATAAAGTGGCCCCTTGGACTATACCTGCACTTTATCATTCTGCAACTCCTGTTCATGTTCATAAGTGCTCATACTGTACATATCTTAGTGTTTTCATACCTACACTATTTATTCTACATATACTCTGATACTCTGACCATTACTCTGCAATGACAAAGTTGAATCAAATCTCAAATTAATTACAATGTAACTTTTCATCCTGTTATTGTTTGTAAATGTGAAGATCCTTAACTACTGTTGATTTTTCTCATCGCAGGAAATATCCCTTTACCAAAGAGGGAGGAGAGGGCCGCCATGCTGAAACACTCAGAATTATGACGTGTATTACTAATTTGTTCTCACTTGGTGTGTAAAATAAAAACCTGGACGTGCATTTAGATTCGTTAGTTTTCAGTTTCATTTGACGGTTGCAGTATTGATAGATCCTGGTTTTGTTTCAGTATTATTTTATGTGAAGTGTGAGTGAGCAGTGTGTTGGCAACCTGTGCTATGAGAGGATTCAGTGCAATGTACATTGTTTTAATTTGGGATTTACATTATGATCTTGATAGTGTGTCCTATTTTCATTCTAGTGTTGTTTAACTTTGAAAAAATAACTTAAAAAAATAAAACAATACTTAATTCCTACTGTTCTCTCACTTGGTTTTGTTTCCAAATAAAATGTGATATCATGTGATATGTGTCTTAAAATAGACTATGACGTGTTTGTCAGGTATCAGCAGAAATGGTCTTGCCTTTATTTCAACCGGGCGGTCCTGATTTGACCTCGTAAACATGCCAGAAGGCTTTGTTATGATCAAGATGCAGCGCACGTAACAGTGGAGTCCTAATGAGAGAATAGAAACCGAAAGTTATCGAGTCAGTGAAGGGAAAACGAATCTCAAGTAAAGGGGAGGGAGTCGATCAGCTGAGGCAGACTGCATATAAACTGTGGGCACAGCTGCTCCAGAGCATCGCTTGTTTTCCTCTCACCGTCTGAAGACCTGAAGCTGTCCAGAAGAATTTACTAAAGTGATCACAAGGTAAGAATCTGTCTTTGTCAACGCTGATAGAAACACACCGTGGGTACTTCAGTGGAAATAGTTGTTTTTTTTCCTCCTAAACTTATTTCAATAATGTATTGAATTATCTTTCAGGTCTTTCATCATGGATATAAACATCATTATGCTGAATGGGACTTCCCGTAAAATGATTGTGAACCCACATGACACAGTGGGCTCTCTGAAGACACGGATCCAGCAGGAACTAGGAGTTCCCTCTGGTACGCAGAAGCTGGTCTTCATAAACGGCGTGAACACTCCCCTCAGCGACGACTCGAGGCACGTCAGCGACTACGGTGTTGGTCCCGGAGCCAGCGTATCCCTGCTGGTGATCCAGCCTGTGACCGTGCAGGTGTTCCTCAGAAACGAAAAGGGGAAGCTGAGCACCTATGACATCACACCCGACGAGACGGTGGACCACTTCAAGAAACGGGTCAAGTCCAGAGAGAGTATCCCGGAGAGCCAGCAGAGGCTCATCCACCAGGGCCGAGAGATGACGGAGCCCGGGTCTAAACTCTCACACTACAACGTCCAAGCGATGAGCACCATCGACCTGAATCTCCGCCTGAGAGGAGGCTGAGGACACTTCTGGTTCATATAGATGATCTTCTGAACATTCCTTTAGTAGCTTTAAATTAATCATATAGATGCCTTTTTTTAATTTTTTATTTATTTTCATTTTCATTTGGAAAAATCAACACATTCCTCTGCATTCTGCTGTATTCCATAACATCTTAAACACTTGTTTATGCTTAAGCAACAGGCTTTGGTAGTACAAATAAGTTCCACAATGCTGCATTATGTTAACTGGACTGTTAAAAACAAATAAAACTTTTCAAATGTAAATTTGCACGTCTCCTCACATTTCCTGCAGGCCTACCGTTTCCTCAGCTCAGGGGTGGAGCCGTACCCTGTACAGACCACAACCAGAAGGAACCAGAAAGGCCCACTGAAGCATTGTTTTAAAATGAACATTATTACAGTTATTAAGAGACTTTCTCAGTCATATAATTCAGTGTTTATTATTACATCTTATACGTTTTTGTCAGTGCTCCATAAAAAAGAAATGTATTATGCTCTGTAATTACAAACATAACAATCATATGAGCATGTTAGAATGGCTTGAACTCCAATTAATAAATTCTACTGTATGTGAGAATTATTGACCAGTATATAAACAGTAGTAGAGTAAACAGCCAAATGCTGAAGCTACAGTGAAGAAGCAGTTTCCTCCAGATTCATTTTCAGGGAGGAAATCTCGCAGAGCTTCATTTCCTCACAGATGCAAGGTAGGCGTACCAAAATAAGGCGACCGAGTTGGCAAACAGCACTCTGAACTGTAAGCAAACAACAGACGCAGGAAGAGACGGTCATTACCATAGCGTCACTATGTGAGTCATCATTTGTTCAGTGACAGGATGCCAGTGGAATGCATACCTGAACAGGCACAAAGTTGATATTGATGAACTGGAAGGGAGTCCACACTTTCCAATTCATCTTTAAAGCAGTCCAGTAACTTCCTCTCATCTTCTTCTCAAAGTCTCTTGTAATGGCAAAATATATTTGAACTCTGTGTGTCCGTGTTGTGAACCCAAAACTTACGTGTGGTTAAAACTATGCAGTAATGAACATGTAGTTGAAAGTCTCATCTTACCTTGAAACCGTAACTGGTTCCCAGTTGAACGCATCTGGCAGAAACTAGATAATGAGCAGCTCAAGACAGCCTGTGTCAAAAGACCTCTACTCCCCTATGCATGATTTGTCTAGAGGAGGGGGCCTCTCTATGTATAAAATGATGTTGAATCTTGTACTTAGTCGAAGCTTATACAACATGCTGCTGAATACGTATTGTGTTGTGCACTCTTCCCTTGCCAGCAAATAAACGGAGAAAGACAACTTTGAATCTTTTGAAGACTTTTTTATTGATTTGTGAACAACTCTCTTCTCCAGATTAACATAGAAATCTTCCATCACACTCTCCACCCTTTAGCCTGAATATAGATTGGAATGATTATATATGTACTTTCATTCATCCTTTGCTGCACAATTTGACAAAGCTTTATTTATATATATGTATCTTGCAATCATACCAACTTTCTGCCAGTGCATTATCAAATTGCTGGAGTGCCCCTTCAATGAGATGAGGAGGGAGAGTTTCTAAGATGACCTACCTCCAGCATGTTCA